CACACACACACACACACACACACACACACACACACACACACACACACACACACACACACACACACACACACATATACACCATAAGAAGGGACTTGAATTGGTGATACTCTGGAACGGCAGCTGGATTTGTTTGCCCCCCCAGAACCCCCCCCCCCCCGGTTAATTCTTCCCGGACAGGGTCCCCAAATAAAAGGTAGACCGGCGGGTCTCGGGCTCTGAGCGTTGGCCCCGGGAACATAGTGGTACCCGATGACATCACACCCGGTCGTCTTTTTGTCGGGAGTGGAACGGTACCCCTGTTTTTCCTTAGTAATCCCCGTGCCCCACTGGTAACATCTGGCCCCCTAAACACGCAACAGCCCTCTAAAGGCTTTCTGCGGGGCCAATGACATCACCTCCTACCTGTAAAACAATACCGTGCCCATGAGGAGGTACCCGCACCAGGCTCGTATATAACCACGGTGGACGTGGGTTTTCCTCCTCTTCTTGCGTTGCCATCAACCAGTGTCCTGGGGGAGTCCGGTGGTGTGACCTGGATCTGCGCACTTCGCGCAATCATAGGCTGCCTCCACGATTCACTCCGGCGAGGCTGGTGACGGCCTGCTCCCTGGAAACTGTCACGAGCGCTGCCTGGCCGAATGATGCCCTTGATAGCGACGCTGGCTGTTGTCTAAGCGAATTCAGCGGTGATGCTATCTCATTACCCTATGCTGCAGCCGCGGCTTCTCCTTCCGCAACGCCCGGTTTGCCCGTCCCGCTGATGATCGGAGTTTGATCCGGTTGTCTTGTTTTGCCACTCGCTTATGCTCACGTACCTTCGGTGCTGGGAGTAGTGTTTCGCCATTCGCTGTCGCCTACCGGAGAGCAAAGCATGGCCCCAGGAGCGGTAATGATATCTGCATCCTCCCTCCTCTCCCCCCTTCGCCCTCCTTGCTACTCACACTTTCCCCCCCGCCCTGCTCCTACGCCTTGCGCCCTACCCGTTCTGAAAGGACAAGTTTGATGGTATCCCCCTCCCTCGTCCTCCTCCCCCACCACTTGTCTGTGGAGACAGGGCTTTGCCCGACACTGTCTCCTGTCCTTTTCGGCATGTCATGACGGAGGTTTTGTTCTCTGAAGATCCAGCTTGATGGAGGCTGGTGAAAAGTACTTAAGAGCGTGGTCCATCGCCCTATGCTTCATGCATCGGCACATTGGGGCCGCTAGACCGAATTGGGACCTCTTGCCTACCCTACCCGCCCCTCTATGTTGCATGATGTGCCTCTTTTGCTCTTTGTGATGTATTCTTATCATTTCTTCCCCGCCTTGTCATGTGTGTATGTTACATGCTGCACATGCACACACGGGCCATTTTGCAGGCCCGACGTCGTTCAGGCCAAAAACCTGAGTTTCGGGCTTTAAGCCTGATATCCAAGGCTTACAGGCCCCGCCGACGGTTCAGCCTGACAGCCCGAGAAAGGACCTACAGGCTCCAGCCTGTTTCCCTACAGGGAAACTTCCAGGCTCTTGCCTGGAAGCTTCCTTCTGACAGGGCCTACAGGCCCCAGCCTATTTCCCTACAGGGAAACTTCCAGGCTCTTGCCTGGAAGCTTCCT